CGGAGAGGATATGACTATAAAAAAATTTTTTTATTTAATAAAAAATAGATATTATTTTTATAATATTTATTTATTATATAATATATTAAATATATTAAGAAAAAGATAAAATAAAATTTTTTTTGATAAATTTAAAGTTTAATTTATATTTTAATAATAATTTATATATATTTAATTATAATAATTATTAAAAAAAATCAGAAAAATATGAAAAATTTATTATATTTACAATTATATAAAACATAAAATCTAAAATTATTAATATTTATATTTTATAAAATATATAAACAAGTTTAGGTAAAGAAATCACTTTTTATCTTTACTATTGGCTTTTATTCCTTGGTTTTTATTTTATATATAAACTTCTTTATTGAGAAATAAATACAAAATTTAATTCATGAATATAACTTATTTTATTATATTTACAGATTAAATTTTGTATTTCTTAGTAAGGAAGTTTATAGATTTTATAAAATATAAATATTTAATAATTTTAGATTTTATATATTATAAAACAAAAATTTTAATTTAACTATATTTTATTAATAAAATTTTATAATATTGTTAGTTACTATATATTTAGATTTAAAAATATAAATTATTAATTTTATTAGAAATACATATCTTTATAGTATATTATCAAAAATAAATTTGTTACTTGTAATCTAATATTTTGATATTTAGTAATCATATTCAAATAAAAATATTATTATTAGATTCTTATAGTCAAGATAAATTTAATGATAATATTTTTGTTCAAATAGAATTATTAAATATCAAAATATTAGGTTACAAATGACAAATTCATTTTTGAAATTTCTAATAATATACTATAGGGATATATAGAATAAATAATTTAATAAAATATATTAGTTAATAAATATAAAATAGAAAATATATTGACCTTATTAAAAAAGAATAAAAGAAAATATTTATATTTATAAAATAAAATTATTAATTTTTTATAGAAATAAATTAAAAAATATAATAAAATATACTAGTTAATAAATTAATATTATAAAAATTAATTAAAAAATATATTGATTAATAAATTAAATTTAAAATAAAATATTAATATTATAAAAATATATATTTAATAAATATGTATATATTGATTTTTTCAGAAAAATATATTGAAAATTAAATGAAATTATAAAAATATTAATTTCAAAAATAATAAAAAATTCAGAAATTTGTTGAAATTTCAAAAAAAGCATGAATTTTATAATTGAATCAAAGATTTATTGATGAATTTTCTGAATTTAAACTAAAAAATTAGATAAATACTAGTATATTTCAAAAAAAAGTTATTTTTTTCTAAAAATCTCAAAAAATTATCCAGATACTTTCAGAAAATAACAGATTTTTCTGAAAAAACCAGGTAATTTCCTGAATTTTTTTATAAAGGAGAATTTTTAAAAAATTAAACAAATATACAGAAACTTTTGTCTAAGAAATATATTTTTTTATATATTTTCATATTATATTCACATATTTTATCAAATTGTGAAATGTGTGAAACATGAAAAATTGAAGCAAATATTTATTATTAATAAATCACGTGTGATTCTGCTTTTTTAATAAAAAATATTTCTTGCAAATTTGGTACATGAAAATCTAATGAACTATTCTATCATATTAATATATTAAATTTTGTATTTGCTTTCTAGTTATATTATAGCAAAAAATATAATAATAATGTAAAAAAAATAGATTAAAAAAGATTAAAAATAAGAGTGATTAAGATACATATATTTAAAATTGCACACTGCATTTTCATCTTTCAAATATTGATTGCTGTGTATATAGTATTATGGAATTGTGACTGTAATTGTATCAATAGTAGCATTTCATTTGACAATGCGCTAGATCTATAACACTATGTACACGATAATTATAGAGGTTTAATAAAATATTACCCTGTAAAAAAATTTGTCCAGAACAAAGATTATGCAACTAGAAAAACAGCAGCAAGTATTGTGAGATTAATTGCTTTGTGACAACAGAAAATTAAATTGTTTGTTAACATAACACTTAATAATTTTATTTATGTGGCACGTTATTAATTTTTTTATTCGTCATTAAAATGGATGTAATACAACGGTAACCCGAACAAAAATAGTATTGACAATAAAATTGCATTGAAGTGAGCATTGAAGTGATTAACTTAAAAATACATGTACTGTATTTTGCAACCTGGGACATTGCTCCTTTTAGTAATCTCCTTTTAGTAATTTTTATTATATTAAGTATATGTAAACATTTATTTGTCACAAGTTGCTTATACACGACAAAATAGGTAAATGCATTATAATGAGATTGCACTGATTTAACCAATTGATTAACTTTAATCACGTTTTTTGTGTACATATGATCATTATCTTTTTTAATTTATATTAAATAAACTAAATAATTGCATTATCCTCTATGATTTTTTTTAATTTATACTAATAAACTAAATCTCCCATCCGTCGCTGACCACGATCTGGAAATATCGATATAGTGAATTAATATCTATAATAAATCCCGTTAGTAATTTACCAATAACAAGCTCCCAATATAGTGGAATTTTCACTAGATAATCAAAAGCTCGATATAACGATATGGCCGGGACAATCAGCAAAATATCATTATATCAAAAATTTAAAATTGTTATACCGAAGGAAACATTTTAAGTGTTTTTAGGTTGTCATCGTTATATCGAGTTTTGATTGGTCATTGTTATAACGGAACGTCGACTCTGTTTAAGGCGGATAGTTGTGGTGTATGATTACTGGATGTTTTGATCGATGTTCTTTGCAGAATGCCATACGATAAAAGGGTTTAAATTTTAAAAAAGTTGCATAATTTCGGGTAGATATTTTACAATTAAATCTGGTAATACACTGTACACTATAAAGAAAGTCACTATGTATTGCGATTGTCCAAGACATTCAGAATTATTTAAATTTTATTAGTTTGATACAGATGATATATTTTGACAAGACTCTTGTTAATAATAAGATTAATCTTTAGATATACTGTATAAGCTCATACATGTACATTATCCAAAAAGAATAAATTCTCACTCTAGAAATTAATCGCACATTGAGGCAAAAAATAACAAATTAAAACGAGCCTTTTTTCTTTACGATATAAAAAACCCTATTAATGCTATACATCATATAACTAAATATTAAAGAAAGATATAGTCTGTCTCATTGAAGTGCTTTCATTTTCAAGAATAGCAACACGAGAGTTCATTGAGACGAGTTCGTTCTCAAGAATAACAACATGAGAGTTCATTGAGACGAGTTCGCTCTCAAGAATAGCAATGCGAGATTGCATATTAGTGAATTCAAGGTTGATATTAAAGTTATAATTGTCAAAAGATGTCACTTCGGTTTCAGATACGAGAGGATTAATATTCTCAGTAATTCTGTTTGGTTGAATATTGATCAAGGTGTCGCTTTCGGTTATCACTTGAACGTCTTCATTTTGTGATTGACTGCTACCGATATCTCCGTCATCAATTACGTGATTTTCAGCATTCCGGGCTAAATAAATCTCTTTAGCCTGTTTGGCAAACTCGAAGTATGTTCTTTTGACAGCTTGAGACTCTTGCTTCCATGCTTGACTTGCCATAGAGGAAATTTCTGGCTGAGAGATATTTCGATCGTTCCAAATTTCGCGACAATAGTTAATTCGATATATCATAAATGCGTTAGGCGCTTTGGTTGGTTGTTTTTGTTTACGATTCCTAGGTTTTATTAACTCATCTACGGAGATCCTTGGTGGAAACGAGGGAAAAAATATATTTGACATGATTTTTACTTTTTTTTTGTCTCAAATTAGCACGTATTTATCAACTTTTATTTAACTCAGAGTTGACACAGATTCTGCATTTACGGTGGTACACGTGTTAACAAAGATCCATCGGTTAAAAAAGTAAATACGTAAACGTATTAAAAATTAATAAAAAAATAAATAAAAAAATCTACATGTATTAAAAATTAAAAATTAAATAATAAACAATGAATTTTTATGTTCATTGGAACGCTGGAAGGTCATTTGGGTGTCCAATCACATGATCTATCCAATCAAATAACGTAAATAAATTGTGCAATCAATTACTTTTTCCCCGTGTTTGAGCAAGACTTTGACGGTAGGGAGTTTCGGTGAGCAATTCATGGATCAAGCGCTCGCCCCACTAGGGATAGGAATCGATTCTCAACCAGAATCGATTTTCAATTTGAGAATCGATTCTCAAGTAGATCCTATTACGTATTGTGGCGGATTAAAATGAAATCAGATTAAAACAAAACAGAGTGGGAATCATAGGCCAATATATTACAGGTTTTTAATGCTATACTCTATGCTCTAACCCTTCTCTGAAATTTTTATTCCATAAAAAAAGAGCCAAATTATATTTTGATTTGATTTTATTATAATCTGATTTCATTTTAATCTGGTTTCGTTTTAATCTGTCACACGTATTATTTTCATTACATGTACATACAGTGGCTCACACATGTAACAGAACACTAAAATTAACTTTCTACAGTGCAGGACACCTAGTCCCACAATTTTAGTATAGTATTGCATTTTTTTATTTACTAAAGAAAAAATCAACAATCAAAAATTTAAAGCCATTATTTGAATCATTTAGACTTAAACTACAATTTAATGGAGTTTTTTTAAAAATATTTATTTATCAAAAAGTTATAGAGGTTTGAACTTTGTTGACTTTATTATAGTTATATCTAATTTGGCCACTTAATTTCAGCCAAACTTACGAATAATGTATTAAATTTTGACCAGAATGTTAAATTTTTACCAGAATTAAGATTAGATTAATGTTAAATTTTGACCAGAATTAAGATTAGATTAATGTTAAATTTTAGCATTAAGAACTTATTGATATTTCCGTCAAGCCATTTCTGCGATAATGCAGGCCGGGATTAAGCTTATCAGCCAAAATTAAAGAGTTATGTAGTAATGCGGGTGGAATTAAGCTTATTCGAAAATTTACGGAAAGTGCATTTTTGCGATAAACTGGAGAATGATCAGATACCCCAACTTGGCCGTGTGGCGCAGTAGTTGTGGGACTAGGTGTCTTGCACTGTAGCATTTTTATTTCCATGACTATTAGTTTGGACAAAATAAAAAAGTGTTCATTTGAAACCCTGAAACCTCTAATAT